TAAAAGGAAAAGTATTTCATGATTCTCGAGGGAACTACGGAAGGACCAGCCTAGTCCCTAGGCGTTCTCTCTTGATCCGTTGTCCGCGCGAAGTCTGGGAGAGAGCGGGCGAGTGTCTCTCGGTAACGTCACAGCTCATGGTAGAGTCCAGGAATGACCGAGACGTCTGCACGCAGGCAATTCTGGAACGGGTCGGTCCCATCCCCGGAGACCCAGGGGCAGTCAGTCGGGTCGGGAGAAAAGGCGGGACGAAAGTTTTCAAGTAAGGGCGGACGATCCCTGGGTACCGACTCTCACCGGACAATTTCCAACAATTCAAGCTGATGCCGGCTCCTGATTGGGCACAAGAAATGCTTTGTATTAATGCTTGTATTAAATGCTTGTATTAAATGCTTTGCTCAATCGACGAACACATCTCCTGAGTTCTTTTCGTGTGTTCGTACACGACGGCTATTGTCTCGATCACGGCTTGTCTGGCTCTTGCACCAAAGAAATGCACGCAGTCAGTAAACTTTCAGTTTGATATAAAATCCCCATCTGATTTCAAAATACTGTCTGCCCGAAAACTAAAGACGCTTTCCCAAAAATACAAGCTTCAGCTTACAACAGGTAATCATACGCTTGCTTCGGCCACGGCTTGCGTAAATATTTATAGAGTTTTTTAAAGATACCACGACGGCTGACAGCCACGAAAACGTCGCATGAAAAAATGAATTCATAATTTTTTCAGTCTCTGTCGTGATTATTCCAATTCACTTTGAAATCAAACATTGACCTGCTTTTATCCTATAATTTGAAATTTCATCCTGAGGTATTAGCTAAGGGTTCCACAGCTGAAGTGCAGGAAAATCTAAAAACATAGTTCCTTATCTCCTTCTGCCTCCAACAGTAAATCAGGGGGTTAATGAATGAGTTTAACATGATAAATGTATTCACCCATGGACAGGGAATGCATGCCTGACTACCGACCACGCCCGTGTTGGTGTCAATTCTAAATAACATGAACACGGCGACTGTTAAAGCTATTGGTAGAAAACATACAATAACAGCACCTACAACTAACACAGTTGTCTTGAACGCTTTGTTTTCTCTAGCGAATCTTTGCTCTTCTCCCTGCGGCAGCTGTTGATTTTCAATCTTCTTTCGGTGGCGACGTATTTCACGGTACATAATGATGTAAGCAGACGCAATGAAAATAACTCACGAAATGACAATTAGAAATGCTAAAAATTCAAAAGTTAGAGTAACTGCCTCCGTTTCTACATCGATAAGTCCTAATATAACATAAAAAATTGAAATGATCCAAAATACGATAACTGCCACCTTAACATTTCGCACCGTGACAAGATAAGGGTGTTGGTAGGTAAATCTGATGGGCTATCAACCTCTCGCAGGTCACTAACATCAAATGAAGCGCCGAACAAATGGATAAACCACGAAGTAAAGATCTGTGAAAAATTCCAATATGGTCTTTTTCTGACAAACCAGCAAACTGAAGCGCTTTCCATAGAATGAAGGAGGGTTGTGCAATGAAACCAGTGAATACGTCAGTAACCGCTAAACACGCCAGCAACACGTTTGCTTTGGTCTGAAGTCTTGGTGTCTTCTTCACAGCAATGATCACAAGCACGTTGAGCACAAATGTGAAGGGGCAGATTATACTGTTGATAACTAAAGTTATGAGTAAACCTGTGTCATGGCTTTCCATGTTTGACGCCGTCAAGATTCTGTGCTGCCGTATAGCGTCAACTCACAGTGAATTAGACAGACTGATCAGAGAGGTTTCCGATCCCAAACCGAAACTACGTTTAAAAGGCTAAATTTCTGAAGAACCTATATTTATTTCTCTAATGAAAGTACCTTCAATCCTTGCCGCATGTTTCCGCCTATTTTTTTCCCTTGGAATAATTGTAACTGTATGGCGGTAAACCGGTTGAAGTAAATTGGTTAATGCGTTGTCAATTAAGCTTTCATTTCTTTGTTTGCGACTACAGCGGCAGATATTGATGACGTTCCAAAGTCACTTACATATGTCACTTGAAACCTTAAATATTTGTTTTGGTCAAGCAACTTGATTAATGTTAATTGTATAGAATGTTAACTGTTAATGTTAATGTTTGATAGTTGTATAAAAAAATTTGCTAGTGATAAATTCGAGACTATAAGCCTCAAAATTAAACCATGAGTCGTAAAACAAGCCGTCAGAACAATTTGAGAACAATGGTCGCTTTCTGTGCAGTTTGAATACGCCTACCTTCAAAGAAATTTTTAATGGCTTGAACCAATTTACGGTGATCAATTAGTTTGGCCCAAAAGCAATCAATAAGTGAATATATCGCTAACTGATAAGCTTACTTTATTAAACGAAAAGCAAAGATAAAAATGAAAAACATTAGTTACTGCTTCAGGTCTTACTTCTCTGAAGAGAAATTTAGCCCTAACTAGTTCGGAAAGATGAATCCGTTAAGAAACAGCAATGAAAGTGTTGGCCGAGATAAAAAGTTTTCCATCTGCTGCGGCATATTTTGAATTTAATAACTGAATTAACAATTGAGAGTTCTGATTTAGGTGGTTATAAGTGATCAACATCCCGTCAGTATTCAAAAGGAGCCGAAAATTTTAAATTTCAAAAAAAATTGCAGGAAGATGTTACACAACAAAATCCGCACAGTATATCTGCGGGATATGAATTTGAGAAGTCCGCCTGTAGTTTCAGTATTCCTTGAAAAATGCAGTGAATTAATAATCATTTTCATCATCAGAATCAGAAGGAGAAGATAAAAAAATGTTTTTTTTATGTTGTTGTTGTTATCTTATTGCGGGTGACAAAAGGAGCCCGAAGACATTTCTTGGTCAGCGGTACTCTAAAAGCTGTATGGCGAAGTTTTCCCAAAACTGTCCACCTTCTTGCGATGCTCCTGTTGTACCGACTAACATGCATGGTATGTGGCCGCGAAGGCCGTGGTGTTGAGTTTAGGGTCCGTCTGATGTCACAGTTATCACGTGAATGCACATGCACCTGATGCAACAATCGTTGTTCGACTCGCAAGCACGCGTAATTCGTGAGCACAAGTACAGTATCAATTATGAGACTTTTCGATTCGCCTTGCCGGTCGGGTATTTATTTACCCAGGAAAATGAACGTAGAGGCTGATCTCAGCTTAGTGCGGGAAGAGTGTTAAGCAAAGTCTAGAAAACCATGTAAATTAAGTTTATTCAGGTTTCACTCCAGTCCATGCTTTTTGTATTTTGATACGTTTCCAAGGATGATACGTCGCTTGTCATCTGAAAGCTTCAATGTGCTTCAAACTCTAGTGGTAAACTAAGCTTTTTTTATTATTTTCTTTTTCATATTTACAGATGTAAATATTTTTGCCCCATTGTAATT